AAAAAAAAAAAAAAAAATCGAGTCATAAATGTCGAAGCACCCGTCACAAACAAAACGCCAGAAAAATCAAGTAAAAAAAAAAAAACATAAAAAATCCATAAAAATAGAGTCACGATGTCGAATCAACGGTGACAAACAAAACCCCATTAATTAAAAAAAAAAAAAAATCATGTCGAAATATCGATTCAATGGTCACACACAAAACCCCAGAAAACTGGTTCCACAGTCTTCTTTCTTTTCTTTTTTTTAATGACGATGACGTCCATCAGTGTATCAAGCAGTTAGTACACCGTCTTCACCCGACTAGAACGGCCAGTCAATATCGCTGTATCTAGACCGAATGTCGTCCCAAATACCAATGACCGGGCAGTCTTCACTCCAACGACCGGGCAGAGTTCTATTCGGTTGAACACTGTAGTCAGCATACAGAGCCAGAGATCAGACAGCCAAACGACGACGGTCACAACGTATCTAGACCGAATGTCCGCCCAAATACCGCTAAAATGAACGGGCTGCGCTTTGCCAGCTGGAAACTTGCAATCAAACAAACCCTAAACCCCCATTAAAACCACTTCACTTTCAAAGTCACTCGATAAGAAAGCACGCACAGAACCAGAGATAAGCCCTGGTGAAACAGCCCAGAACAGCCTTCCTTTTTCTTTTCTTTTTTATCTTCCCTTTTTTTTTCCATTCTGGACTTTCACTAACCATGCGTAATTATTAAATACTAAAAATGCTGATTAATCATTACTATAATAATAGGGGACTAGGGCGAAAAGCTTATGGTCGCCTCTTCAGACTTTCCGTGTGGCATGTGAAAAAAAAGCTTGTAGCCCACGGCGGATTACCCTTCTTCATCCGAACAGAACGTTCGGTCATTATGGCTGTATTTAGACTCAAAGATACCCCAAATACGGCTCCTATAATGACCGTACGTGACGTACGGTCATTATGGCTGTACTTAGACTGAAAGATACCCCAAATACATAGGGCTATAATCACCGTACGTCCTATTCGGGTGAAGAAGCGCAGTTTGAGAATCCGTTTATCTTATACAGAGTTCCATTATTTACGGCTCCAGAAAGATTACTAGTAATTAGTAATTGGTGATTAGTAATTAGCAACTAGCAATTAGTAATTAAATTAGTTTTCCGTCATTGCTAATTAGTATTACATTCGTATTTAGTAATTAGTAATTAGCAACTAGCAATTAGTAATGTTCCCAGATTTATCACCAAAACCTACAGCTATTAGCAATTACTAAATAATTAGTAATTAGCAATCAGTAATTAGTAATTTGTAATAATTGGTAACTCGTAATTACCCATCCAATTCCATCCCCACCATTTCTTCTACATAAAAACAGAAAGAAGGGGGTAAAGGGGGGGAGGGGGAAGAGGGGGAAGAGGGGGAAGAAGGATCAACACTTGGTGGACGGACATAAATTCAATTAAATTCACTGTATCAGAAAATAGGAGGACAATAAAACCTCGATTTTTGTGAGAGCCGAAAAACACAATGAGGTCTTAGGCCGTTATTACAACCAAAAAAAAGGAAAAATGCAGTGAGGGAAGGGGGGGGAGGGGGGGTAGGAGACCCCACTTACCCCAGACGTAAGAATTGGTGCGTGTATCCTTCTGCTAAAACTTGACAAATACTTTTTTTTTTTTTTTTTTTGGGGGGGGGGGGGGGGGGGGGGGGGGGGGGGGAGAGAGGGGGGGGGGGGGGGGGGGGGGGGGGGGGGGGGGGGGGGTGTCTCTTTGACAAATATGTTTTTTTTTTTTTTTTTTTTTTTTTTTTTGGGGGGGGGGGGGGGGGGGGGGGGGTTAGGAGACCCCACTTACATGCACTGGGCCATTTTTCCCCATTTGGCGAGCGATTTTAATTGACGAAACGTAGGAAGAGCTCAGCAAAACGTAGGAAGGGCTCAGGGTAAGGGCCATTTTTTCCCATTTGTCTAAGGGCCTTGCCCCACTATTCGCTCGCCAAATGGGAAAAAATGCCTGAGCTCTTCCTACGTTTTGCTGAGCTTCTCTCATGATTTGCTGAGCCGTTGGTGAAGGGAGAGAAGGGAGAGAAGGGAGAGGAGGGAGATGGAGGAAAGGGAGGAAGGGGAGGAAGGTGAGGAAGAGGAGGGAGAGGAAGGAGAGAAGGGAGAGAAGGGAGAGAAGGGAGAGAAACGAGAGGAGGAAGGGGAAGAAGAGGGGGAGAAAAAGGGGGGAGGAGAGGCAGAAAGGAGGGCGAGGGGAGGGAGAGGGGGAGGAGGAGGGAGACGGGGAGGAGGAGGAGGGAGAGAGGAGGCAGGGAGGAGGGCGAGAGGAGGCAGCGAGGAGGGAGAGGGAGGAGGGGGTAATCTCTTTTATTTCCCACCACATATCAACCAACAACTAGACAGTCCTCTGTACGAAGCCGTAGAAAGGCTATGCACAGAACATAGAAGCGCATGGCTGTACAAAGGACAGAAAGACAAAGGGAGGGAGAAGCGAGAAAAGGGAGGGAAGGAGGGAGGGAGAAGGGGAGGTGGGAAGGGATGGAGCAGGGAGGGAGGGGGAAAAGATGGAGATAGGGCGAGGGTTCGTACCTAGAACCTGACCCTCAGCAGGGCAGAAAATTTCGATGACGGCTGACACCTTGAGACGGAGGTACGGGTGTAACCCTGTGAGGATCTGAGAGTGATTTCCCACAATTTTTGGATTAGAGATTGACACCACGACCCCTTCATATTTTTCATCATACCTGCGAAAGAGAGGCATTCCATTCCGAAAAACGGCAGAGAAAGAGAATCAGAGAGAACGAAAATAGATGACGGACAAGCAAGGGAGAGAAAGGGGGGAGCAAGGGGGGGGGTGTAGGGAATAAAGGGGGGTGGGTGCGGGAGAGGAGGGAGGAGCGGCAAAAACCGGGGGGGGGGGGGGGGGAGGGGAAGAAACAGATGCACAGCTATAGCAGATACTAAAGCACCAAGAAAATATGATGCATAGCTGCATAACTTTCCGAAAAGGGAAAGACATCAAAGTTGGTTGGGGGGGGGAGAAGTGGGAGGAGAGGACAGAAGAGGACCGAGAGAGAGAGGAGGAGAGAGGACAGAGAGAGGGAGGAGAGGACAGAGGAGAGAGGAGAGAGGAGAGGAGAGGTGAGGAGAGGAGAAAGAGGAGAGAGGAGAGGATAGGAAAGAAGAGAGTAGAGAGGAGAGGTGAGGAGAGAGGAGAGGAGAGGAAAGAAGAGAGTAGAGAGGAGATAAGAAAAAGGAAAGAGCAAGGACGAAAGAGTAATGAAGAAAGAGGAGAGAGGAGAAAGAAGAGAAAGGATGGGGAGGGGGGAGAGGAGAGGAGAAAAAGAACAGACGAGGGGAGGACAGGAAGAGACGAGAGAAGGAACCGAGAGGAGTGAGGTGACCCGAGAGCAAAGAGAAAAAGGAGCGAGAAGAGGGAAAGAGGGGAAAGAGAGAGGAGAGGAGGAGGAGGAGACAAAAACAGGAAAAGAACGGAGAGAGGAAACACAGTGATAGGAGAAGAGAGGAGAAGAGTGGGGAAGAGACGAGAAGAATGGGGAACAGTGGGGAAGAGACGGGAAGAGAGGAGACCAGAGGAAAAGAGAGGGGAGAGAGGAGAGGGGGCAGAGGGGAAAGGGCCCCCCTGGGGGAGGGGAGAGG